AAATTCAATAAATAACTTTTTTAACTTAATAACATAACTATATAAATAATTGGGTAAGAAAATGAGAGAGAAACAAAGAATTTTCTCACCGTATGCCAAAATAAAAGACCTATAGCGGCAGTCTGTATACCACTTTAGCGGTAGTCACGATCGCTAAAAGTGATTTTTCTTTACCGACAGTCGCCAAAATTGCTGCTAGAACTCTTAGCGATACTTGTTTTAGCGGCAATTTGCCGATTATCGGTAAAACTTAGCAGTAGTTTTTGACTGCCGCTAAAAGTGATTTTTCTTGTAGTGCTTGTTTTCGTAGATCTGCAGTGATTTTTCTTGTAGTGCTTGTTGTTTGTAGATCTGCACTTTGGAAGAGTCAAACGACTACGTTTTATTTTCCTAGCGACCGACGATTAGCAACCAAAATCACAAACCAGGTTGAAAAAATGAGCTTCTGGTGACTGGTGACTAGTAATTGGCAATCAAAAATACAAATTGGATTGAAGACGATGGGCTTTCGATGATTGGACCGACAACTAGCAACCAAAAATGCAGATTAGATTGAAGACAATGGGCTTCCGATGACTTCGACAACTAGCAACCAAAATTATTAGACTAACAACGATGGGCTTCTGATGATTGGTGACCAACGACTAGCAATGAAAATCATAGATGATGTCTCTCTCCTCTATTTCAACCTCTTTGCCACCAATTTTAGCATACCTTGTCTAAGAACCCATACCAGTACCTGATCGGCGACCAAATTTGTCGTCTTGGTTAAAGACAACCTGAAAATCAATGTTTGAGCACCTCTATTTCAAGTGTCGAGTGGTTTATTTCATTAATATCATTTTATAATATTTTATAAAATATTGTAATAATTGTTCAATTAATATTTTATATAAACATTATTTTATAATGTTTTATATTAATATTTGAAAATAAATATTATTTTTATAATATTTTATATAAATATTATTTGTTTGACTTAAGAACCTACTAGAATATGGTTATTTTTCATATTTTTAAACTTGAATTCCCCTTATTATTATTATTATTATTGTTGTTGTTGTTGTTATTGTTGTTGTGGTCTTCATGGTGATTCATGCATGGGATTCAGTTGAAATGTATAGTATAGCATGTGAAAAACATTGTATATATGTATGAGTGAAGTGAATGCTAAAATTGTCATTTACGTCAATATAAGCACTTATAGGAAAAGTAGCTTACCAAACATCCTCACCCCAATAACTACTTAAAAATATAATAAGTGATTTGATAAATAAGTTATCAAACAACCTTAAATGACTTAAATGACTGATAAAATAAATACTTTTAAGAAGTACATCAAATACTTCTTTTAACAACCATTTAATTATCAAACAAGGCATAAATAATAAAATGGCCAGTGCATGCAGGTGCGATTATCCCGACCCAACTCGGAGATCCGAGTCCAGATCCCCATCCAGTGCACGGTAGTAAGTACATGTGATCACAGTCTAGCGTGCGCCTACAGTTGGAAATTACGTTCGAGACAGAGAAGTTGAAAACAGATGACAGAGTGGGAAGTGGGAACAACAAGTTGTCAAACCCACGATGACAATTCTTAATCGCACGCACCGCTCGTTGACTGAAATGTTCAGCTCTCTTCAGTCTGTATACTTGCAGTCTAACTGCGCAGGTTAGCGTGTTAGCGTAAAATTTTTCATTTTCAGGCGGAAGATAAACCGAACAGCATTAATTGTTTTCCACCCACTGAGGTTGTAATTCAGAGAGTAGAAAATAAAAATATATAAATAAATAAAACTTTTAATGTCTACCGTTTCAGTTGGATGTTTTCTGGATCGTTTTTACCTCTATTTCTCTTTGTCCAATCTCTTTTCTGTTCGACCAATCTCACCTAAATTCTCTCCATTAACATAATAGCACGTTTCTTCCCCTGAGCCAGAGACTCTTGTGATTCCTTCCATCTTCCGGCGAAATCAGCAGAGCCATTCGTGGGTGTTCTTTGCCTTCAATAATTCAATTTGTTTAAGATGGGTAATCGATTTATGTGCATGCCGAAGAAGGACGCGAAAGATATTGGGTCGAGGAGCAATAGGAGAGGGGGATCGCAGAGGAAAATGGCGGCAGAGGAGGAGTTCTTGCACCGGCAGGCGTTGTCAATGGCAATTCATCAGCACCAGCTGTCGCAGAGGTTCGACGGATCGATGTCGCGGCGTATTGGGTCGACGAGCTCTCGGAGGCGGACTTTTTCTGATCCCTTCTCCAATGGAAAACAGGTCTGATAGCAACCGTATTCCTCCATATAGTCTTTGATTGGCTTTAGTTTCATTACCTTCTGTAAGATGGTTTATTTGACACTTGAAAATTTGTTCTGGGATTCTGGAGGAGAATGGTTTCTAATTGCCGAAGTTTACTGAAGTATTCCCCACAATTAGGACATGGAGAGAGTAGAGTTCCCAATTAAAGGTGGAAGCAGCACTACTTAAAAGGAAAGTTGGAGGAAAAGTATATATATTTTTATGGCGTTCCTTTTGGGGATGTGGTGGAGAAAAGAATAATAGAAGAAGTTTGATTGTTATGTGACAACTGGAAAGGGATTGGCAGGAATAGCTGCCTGGTTTTCCCTCATATATTGCAAAGAATGGTCTCTCGCCCACCTTTTAGTTATTTATGCCGCTTTTGTTCCTCTGTACAATAAATTGGAAAATTTTCAGATTGAAATATTTGGGCTATTATTCCCACCACTTATAGTGAAAACTTTGTTTTCTGCCCTTTTTAGTTTGTTTTGATGCAAATGGCAAGGAATAGGAAGTTTTCATCACCAAAGTTTACATTTCATTCTAAAATTTCTGTCCAATTTACGTTAAAACAGACAGCCTAACTGAAAAGCGAGAGAAAAAAGAAGACAAGATTTGTTTGCAGAATTATGAATTAACATTCTAATTATAAGTAATAACAAGGGAAAGGCTTTTGATTGGGACAAATATTTCCCGGATGAAAGGGCTTTTGGGGCAGGCAAGTGTGCTGGAAGTAGAGTGGACTGGGCCATTTATTTTGTTACAGTGAGAAAATGTTATATTATTTTGGTTGTAGCTCTGCTCCGTGAATCAGAAAAGTCTAGGTTTCATCAGCTTTGTTTCCCCTATTTCATTTCTTTCACTTCATGCCCCACACTTTTGAAGTAGTCAGCAAATTGGTTTTCTTCTTTTGTGAATGTGCTTTTGGTGCTTATGTGCCAAATGCTATGTCCATGATGGTTGACCCTATCTTCCATGTATGTCACTTAGCCATGTATTGCTATCTATCACAACCATTGAATCACCTCTCAGCCAAACATTTCATAGGCAGTTGTCTTGTGCGAAAAAAAAAACAGAAAACCTCCCTTTTGCTGTCATTGCCTCCACCACCTCTATACTTGTCCACCCAATTGCTCTTGCTTTTACATCTGTAACTCAACCATCTTCTCCTCTTGCAGTGAAACAAATTGTTCACTTTGTCCCTATATCTCACTAATGCATCAGAATTTATTCTGTTTTGGCAAGGAGGCTTCTATTTCATCATTATTGTTTATTTCATATTGCTGTTTTTATTCTGCATGCTTCTACTTATTCTATTATTGCCTTTTGTGCCAACTGCACAGATGGACTTGGTGTTTTGACATTTTAGATTAAGTCATTTCTTTTTTTCCCATATTCTCATAAGATATTTTCTCCATGCTACTGTTTTTTTCATACTATTTGTTTCCTGTTCCACCCCCATATAATTGATGTATCATTATTTGATGGACCGATGTTATTTATACTTACAACTAACCAAACATGGCTTGCAAGGATGCAATTTATTAATAATTCATGCATATCTTCACTATCCTCTGCATATCTTATAATATGGTCAGTATTTACATATCTTTCTTTCAAGTATTCTCTTGTGGTCAGGCTTACTCAGGCCTTGATTTCATCCTCATTGCATTCCTGTCTACTGATTTCTATTTGCAAATGGAACATTAAATTTTCTACTTGAATTTAGGCTCTACCATAATCTGTCATATTGGCATCATGAAGGGATGGCAATGACTTAGATGATTTTCCCTACATGTTGGGATGCAGTGGTCCTGAATGCACTGAGCCATTCATAAGCTGGCATGGTTTCTTTCAAAACTCATACTTGTTCTTTACCTCTTGCCATGTGGTACTTTGATTCAACAAGCTTACTACTAGGTCATGCTTGACCTCATGTTTGAAGATTCAATTGATCAACTCATTAAACTCATAATTATTTTCAAGTTGATATTTGGTCTATAGTGTATTTTTGTTCCATCAGTCTTGAACTTCATGATGACTTTAAACAGGGAAAATTACCTGAAATTCTTGTATATTGACTATAGTTTTCCAGCTGTTCTTACCATAATTGGTAGGAAAGGGCTCTAGATGGCTGAATCCAGAGGTGGAAATAAAGGCAAAAAAAAAATATTTATTTCATGACCTGAAACATGTGCAGATCATGAAATCCTCACTATCTGAAATTTTAGTAGAATTTCATCATAATGGGCCCAAATCTGGCAAAAATAGAAAGATCAGTATTATTTGAAATTACATTTTTGGATATCATGATTTTGTTTTCTATTTTTATTTGTTATCCTATTATCCTGTTTATCTTAATCCTTTTTTAATGATATTTTACCTAGCCATCCAATTATCTCGTATTGGTATCATGGTTCTACATAGTATTATTCTTGTCAAATATCAAAATTTTGAACGCTTGAAAAATTTGCAAACCTGATCCATAATTGAAGACTGTAGAATAATCATGCATATTGAATATGTGTGGATTGGGTTCATCACCTAAACTCATTTGCCTTTCATTTAGCTATTCAGTTTGACTACATCCATTCTTCTAGAAGTTCATTGCACTAGTAATTGTGCAGCACTTATGCAGTTGCTCTTTTCTTTTTTTTTTTTTTTTCCTTTTTCGATAGGTCCAAGTAAGTGTAACAATATTTTCATAAGCAACTATTCTTAAAGATGGGACACGCTACAATTTTTCTTCACTTTGAGTGTCAAAAGAACGAAAATATGGTTAAATATGTCACAACTTTTATGCTCTGCAGGCCCCAGAGTTTTTAGAGAATATCAAAACAAAGAAACTTGTTCTAATTCATGGAGAGGGATTTGGAGCATGGTGTTGGTACAAGACTATTGCTCTGTTGGAAGAAGCAGGATTGCTTCCCATTGCCTTGGATCTCATGGGATCTGGAATTGATAAGACAGATACAAACAGTGTCACAACATTGGTGGACTATGCTAAACCCTTGATTGATTATCTAAATGACCTCCCAGAGGATGAGATGGTAAGAAGCAGCATGCAATTTTGATTACTCTTATGTCTGTTCTGTAGCCTACTGGAAGGCATCCTGGAAACTACTGTGATCTCTATAGTTCTTCTACAGGTTATTTTAGTTGGCCACAGTTGTGGGGGTGCAATAATCTCTTATGCTTTGGAGCATTGTCCAAAGAAGATTTCAAAATCAGTTTTTCTCTGTGCTACTATGGTGAAAGATGGACAGAGGCCTTTTGATGTTTTTGCTGAAGAGGTGCATGATCCATGTCTGTTGTACAATCAGTGTTAAATTATAATTATTTAATCATCTAAATGTGATGGAAAAATATCTTTAGGCAAAGCATTCTTGGGCATATACCCAAATCAGAGTCAATCACCTAAGTCACAAAGAATTCTCAATTTACTGGAAGAATCAACCACTCAAGAGTTGTTCTTAAATCAATTTAAGCCACATGAAGTGGCTTGACCATTTTGTACTACAGAAGAATGCTTTCTTGTTATATAGTCAACCTTTGGCTGGTATTGAATCAGTTTCCTACATTCCAAAAAATGGAGGTTGTTTATGGTTACATCAATGAAAAAGTCGTACACTCCCTGTTGCCGAAATTTGAATGGATCAGCTAATTATTATGAGTACACTACCTTTTAAATGGCTCAATCCTTGTGTGGCATCTGTAACAATGAATAAATTAGGATTCTGTCTTGGGTAAATTCTTCTTATATTAAAGCAGGGCAATTTAAAGCAAGGATTGAGAAGTATATCATAAAGATTTATTTGACTTCACAATTCTCAGTAGTCATATTCATGCATGGATACTACCATATTCATCCAACCCTACTCCCATGATTCTCAAATAACACAAGTGCATCTGAACTGAGCCACTCATGCAAAACAACTCTAGCAAGTCATACTGAGCCTGTAGTTTGCTGCCAGCTGGTTGCCAATATAATATTGATTTTAGTTTTTTCTTTTAATAAAATACCCTTAGCTGGCAGCTGTCTTTTAGTGCTTTTGTATTGCTCCTAATTTGAATTCTTATGGGACACATATTCATATTGGCAGCTAGGCTCTGCTGAGAATTTTATGCAGGAGTCACAGTATCTAACATATGGGAATGGTAAAGATAAACCTCCCACTAGTCTCATGCTTGAGAAACAACATATGAAGGGTTTATATTTCAATCAGTCTCCTGCTAAGGTATGCTACAATGTGAAATTTACTACCATTACCTTCTGGAATATTGTGTTTAAATTCCCATCATTTGCCAATTTTAGAATTGTTCTTTTGATATCATCTGAAGTAAAGGTGCCTCTGCATTTCTTGTCTTTTCCTATTTATTTTTCTTCTCTTTTTCCAAGAGATTTTCTGAAAATGTGAATTTCCTGCTAATCAGAATGTAATGCCATAAACATAACTTATATGCTTGACAATCTAATTCATATCTATATGTAAATCTCCTAAAATTACCAATATATTCTTTCAATGAGGGTGGTATAATAATCTAGACTGATATTGAAAGCTACTGACTACTCACTTTAATCCTGTTAGGAATTCCCCCATTTATTCTTGCACATGAGAATGAGAATAATGTTTATATCATAATTATTCTTATGTATTAGTAAGATCAATTGTGTAAGTATTTAATTTAAACCTCTTGTTTATCAATGAAATAAAAAGTAGAATTCACTACAGAAACAATCTACTATGGTTATAAATTTCTAAAGTGCCTGATATAAAAAGCTCTATGGAATACTCCAGCCCCTCAACTTTGGTGATTTATTGTGGCCCGCTTTCCTGCCCTTGTTGGAGTTTCTAAATGCCTCCCCTTTCAATACACTGATTTGGTAGTTGAAGTTTGCATATCAAATTGTGTGGCCTTCAACAAAATGAATCATGTCATCTTACTAAGCTCCATATGAATATTCAGAACACTTCTGAGTGCTTATGATGACACAGTTCAAATTTAAACACCATCAATAGTGACATTATGTGATCAATCTTGATGGAACCCAAAAAAGTTTGTTAGTTCAGATATTTTTTCTTGTCAAGATAATTAGATATATATATTTTTTCTTTAAACAGTTTATTTGCATGGAATGTAATGAATTTAACTGGTTGCAGGATGTTGCATTGGCCACAGTTTCAATGAGACCAATTCCTCTAGGACCAATAATGGAGAAGCTTTCATTGTCACAGGAGAATTATGGCACTGGTAGGCGTTTCTACATTCAGACACTTGATGACCATGCATTATCACCAGATGTTCAAGAAAAGCTTCTCAGGGAAAGCCCACCTGAAGGTATCTTTAAGATCAAGGGCAGTGACCACTGTCCCTTCTTCTCAAAGCCACAGTCTCTACACAAAATTTTACTTGAAATTGCCCAAATTCCATAGCTTAAGTTATTGGAGTTGCTAGAAAACTTTATTCTCCCAGAGATTACAAAGTGGAGAGAAGAGTTGTACAATATAACATGGCATCAGAAATCTGTAGTCTTTACTATCAGGTATAAATATAGGATGAGTGATTCTTAATTCAATTTGACTCGAGGAGAAATAACATGTTAAATGTGATTGTTGGAGAAAACAACAGAAATGGTCAATTTCAGTGGGATATTTTGGTCGTATACCATATGTAGAAAGAATGATGTTTCTATTTAAATTGATTTTCTTGTTTGCCACAGAATTGCTTTCTTTTCCTTTTATTTTTCATTTTCCCTCTTTCCTTCTGGGGTTGGGGGAAAGGGGAGGTGGGAAGAAATGTTATCAACAAAGGGAGGAATTTAGCATTGTTCTCTTCACCATATTGAAACTCTATGTTCATTACTATTTATTTTGTTGTTTATGAAATTTCTATTTATACGTATGTTGCATTTATTTCTTTCTCGAAACATTCATTTTTTGTTTGTCGCATTCATTATTGACATTCATCTTATTTTGTGTCTTTTATTCAATTCTAGCATTTTTCTAAATCGTCTATTAAGGTTGTGTTTGGTTTTGAAGGAAAAGATGGGGAAACTTATACCCCTTAGTTGGGGTAGTTAATTCCTTTCCCAGGTTTCCCTGTCCATAAGTGAACTACTTAGAATCTTTTCGTAGATCATTTTGGAGTCACTTCAAATTAAGACTCAATTTTTGAGGTTTTTTGGGTTCCATCGTCTCTAACAATGGGCGGCAACTCTTTTGTTTCCTATTTTTGGTAGATCAGTTTTTCAGTTTTCTTTCCTCTTCTTAATCAATGTATACTCAAGATTGATACCTGGTAATTTTATTTATTTTACTAAATGATTTTAATAGTGATTCTTTTTATTTTATTTGAATTATCGGAATAATTGTCATTATTTGTTTATAATTGATTTATTTGAAAATTTCTTTTATTTGTGAATAATGGAAATTCTTGTCAATTGTTTTTGCTCAAATCCATATTGTAAGGCTTTTACATAAATTCAACTTATTTAATTCACATTTGTTCCTTTCCTCTCCTTTCCCTTAAATCAAGGTCTATTAAGTTTTGTCCAAATGTTTCAATTTTTTCCTTCACAATATAGTCGACAAAGTAATTATTATTGGTATTCTTAATACGTATGGTTTTTTTTTGTACGCTGCATGGGTCCCCATTAGAAATTATCTCCCTTTTTGCTTTTTTTTTTAATTTTTTATTCCATGTCATTTTTGAAACAAACAATGAGATGTTCTTCTTCCCCATAAAAAATTACTTAAAATCTCTCTCTCTCTCTCTCCACCCCGCCCCATATGTTCCTAATAACCTAAATAATATCCTCTCCTAAAATTATTTCTAAACTATCTCCCCCACTTTCTCCTAAATTATTTCTAATTCCTATTTATCTCCCAAATTATGTATAATTCCTATTCATCTCCTAATTTATCTCTAACTCAATTGAGAGTTTCTCTCATAAATTATCTTTTATTCCTATTTATCATCTGCCTACTTTTAATCTATATCTATCTAAAGAAATTTTGAATTAAAAAATTTAAAAATTATTTAAATATTCTAATAAAATTATATAACAATTTTAAATATTTATTTAAAACAAAAAATAATTATAATAGATTTAATTATACTCATATTATTAATAATTTTATATTTTTACAAAATATATTTAAATATTCCTGATTATTCAATTTAAATGTTGTTCAAATAATAAAAATTTAACATTAAAAAATATTATTTATATATTTCAATAATTAAATATCTTACCTAAAAAATATTAAAAACAACTAAATAATTATATAACAAAGTATTTTATATTATATAATAACTTTAAAATAAATTCAAATAACAAAAAAACTTTACTATTTTATATATTATTTAAATATTTAAATAACTAAAAATTTTACCTAACGAAATATTTAACAAAACTAGATTTTAAACAGTTAAAATAACAAAATTATGTAATAAATTTAAAAAATTTCTTAAAAGTAGAAAAATAATTATAACATAGTATTCAAATTAATAATAATTTAATATTTTACAAAATCAATAACACAATTTTGTAATAATAGTATAAATTATAATTTTATGAATTATTAAAATAAGTAATTAATTAATATTTAAAATTTAAATAATGATATTATTTAAATAGCTAGATAATATCGTAAATAACTAATTCCACTTATATCAATTAATAATTCTAGAAAATAACTTTCAACAAATAATATTTGTTAATAATAATTTTAAAATTTTAATATATATTTATTATATTTATATATACTAAAATTAAAACTTTGTATTTTTAATAATTATTTATTATTTTTTATGAAAAATAAATTTTCGATAATTATGTATAAATCTATTTTTGTTTTATTATTTAACAAAAAAAACAATAATTATTGGAAATTAAACTACTGTAATTTAACTTTTTAAATTTAATTTAGTGTACTTATTGTAATTATTGTATTTTTGTTATAATTTATTGATTAATATTTATTAGAGACTAAACTATTATTTGATATTACACTGTTTATTGACTAATTTAATATAATTTTTAGTGTTTATTGTATTTTTGTAATTATTGTATTTATTGCATTTTCATTATCAATATGTTTTCAATAGTTGTGTATTTTCGCTATAAATTTTCAATAATTATTGGAGATTAAACTATAGTTATTTATTAGAGATTAGACTATTAATTTATCTAAAATAAGGATTGTTTACGGGGTTGGTTTGGATCTATTGTAGGCATTTTGGCCAACCAAATTGACATGGTTAGGTTAGGGAGTTGATCATCGAAACCAACTAACCATTAATGAAAATCGACCAACTTGGGTTGTATCGGTTTGGGTCGACTTTCAATTTGGTCAGTCAATTCAAGAGATAAATTTAAAAACTAGAATGGCATTATTAATAAATAAATTTATGAAATAAAATATTTTAGACTAAGAATTATGGGAATTTTCCCACTTTCATGTATTAATGGTCAAGTAATTCCATTTTGGTTGATTTACAAATGGCTAAAGCGAAATTGGTCCAACTTGGTTAGGTTAGGAAATTGTTGAACCAAAGTTGATATGAAATACTAGAAAATCGATCAACCCAACCCCGAGTTGGCTGGTTTTATTAGTTTGATGAATAACCCTAGCTGAAATTAATTATTGTTATATTTGTATTGTAAAAACATTATTAAAAGTAGTATATAAAATATAAATAATTATTAATTATTTAAAAAGTTAAAAACCCCATGCATTTCATAGGTCCCTACTAGTATACACACACACACACACACACACACTAAAGTACTAAAGTACATCTTGCCACATCAGCAGCCCTCTCCTTGGTTACTCATTCTAGAGGGAGTGTAAGATTCCCTTTAGAAGCACTAGGAGTTGCCATGTCAGCATGCTCCATTTTTTTTTTGCCCAAGAAATTAGGAAAGTGAGAGTGGGTAAGCCCACTAACTAAAAAATAGGAATACTTAACTCCACTCCTAGAAAATTGTTAACTGCAAATATGTCTCATCTAAATTTCTTGGGAGTAGAGATTCGTGGAGTTAAGGGGACCAAGGTGTGGGAAGGTGTTAGGCACCCCACGTACACTTGATTAAACTAGCCTTTACTTCACTAGTGCTCCAAATAATATTAGCCATAATCTAACAATTGATAGAAGAATAAAACACCAAGCAATTGAACGATTGAGTAGCAAATGTAAACTATATATATATATATATATATATATATATATATATATATATATATATTAAAACAAAGTGTCAATAAGTTTTTTCCTTTTTTCCTTTTTTATTTTATTTTTTATTCCATGTCATTTTTGAAACAACCAATGAGATAAGCTTTCCCAATAACCTAAATAATCTCTTCTCCTAAAATTTCTCCTAAACTACCTCCCCCCACTATCCCCCACTTCCTCCAAAATTATCTCTAATTCCTAAATATCTTTTAAATTATATCTAATTCCTAATTATCTCCAAAATTATCTCTAATTTAGTAGAGAGTTTCTCTCCTAAATTATCTCTAATTCCTATTTATCCTCTCCCTTACTTTTTATCTATATCTATCTAAAGAAAGTTTGGATTAAAAAATTTAAGAATTATTTAAGTATTCTAACAAAATTATATAATAACTTTAAAATATTTATAAAAAACACAAAAAATAATTTTATACTTTTACAAAATATATCACAAAATTATGTACTAACAATTTAAATTATATTTTTCTGAATTATCAATTTAAATGTTTTTTCAAATATTTAATAATATGTAATACCTTAAAATAAATAAAATTCAAATAACAAAAAATTTTAAATATTTTATAGATTATTTACATATTTAAATAACTAAATATTTATCATAACTAGATTTTAAATAGTTAAAATAACGAAATTATGTAATAGATTTAAAAGATTTCTTCAATAATTATCGAAGATTAAACTACTATTAGTGAAATTTTTAAATTTAATTTATTGTACTTATTGTATTTTTGTTATAACTTATTGATTAATATTTATTAGAAATTAAACTATTATTTGAGATTATACTATTTATTGACTAAGTTAATATATTTTTAGTACTTATTGTATTTTTGTAATTATTGTATTTTTTCATTATCAATATATTTTCAATAATTGTGTATTTTTGCTATAAATTTTTGATAATTATTGGAGATTAAACTATTGTTATTTATCAGAGATGAGACTATTAATTTAGCTGAAATTATGAGTGTTCATGAGTTGGTTCGGTTTAGTCGTAGGCTATTTGGCCAACCAAATTAACCTGGTCAGGTTGGGGAGTTGGTCAGCTACCGACTGACCTTTTGTGGAAACTGGCCCATTCAAGTTGTATCTGTTTGGGTCGATTTTTTGGTTTGGTTAGTCAGTTCAAATAAAAATTAAATTTAATTTTAAAAGTTATAGTGCAATTATTAAAAAATAAATTTAGAAATTAGATTTATGATATAAAACATTTTAGACTAAGAAATATGGAAAATTTTCCACTTTTCCATATTGAAAATTATATTTAAAATATAAAAATATTAATATATATCCATGGTTAGATCGTTCAATTTTGGTTGGTTTACAAATGGCCAAAGCAAAATTGATTCAACTTGGTCGAATTGGGAAAATTTTGAACCAAAGCCAACCTAAAATACTAGAAAA